TTCCATATTTTAAGTGGAAACCTAATAATCACATGTATATGTAAAAATAGAAAAAAAAATTTAAAAAAGGAACATAAGAGAGTTGGGACATCTTATTGATGTTGTAGGATCACAGTGGAGCTCGACAAGGATCTACAACAAGAACCAGAAAGATACCAGGAACTAAGGCAGCTTCTGTGTCTCTTCTGCTTTTCTCTGGGACCTGCTCCCTTCTCGCTATTTGTAGAAACACTTTTGCTTCTTCATATACACAGGCAAACATGACAGCCCAACATTCCTGTGCTCCTGTTCCCCTTTCCCAGATGACCAGGCCAGTTGAGCTGAGTGGTGCAGCCTAAGGAGACTGTCTACCGCCAACTCCCAGAGCCAACTCTCTAGGCCTGGAGTGAGGTTACAGACACAGATATAGCTGCCTTGGGGTGGCACATGGAAAGGCACCCTTTGGGATGGGAGCAGTGGGCTGGGGTTGAGAGTAGGACTAAAATTTTAAAAGAGACTTGTCAGTACCCGTTGTGGTACCCCATCACCGTGTGAATAAAAAACAGCTGAGACACAGATTGAAGGTACAAGCCTGCAAGATGTGGGCTTCCCATAGGTGCAGGGAGAGCCCCGAGTAACCTCTGTCATGGCCTTTTATTGAAGCATTATATAACAGGTGTGAGGGGCCCACAAACTGGAGCTACGTGCTTTATGATCGCTGAATGCTCTTTCCCCATGGGCTCAACACCCACCCTGTTGCACCACAAATGTCCAAAGTATAACACCTGCTTGCTAACCAGCAACCGATCTTATCTCATTAATGCATACAGTTGCTTGAGGGCTTGTCTCTGGGCTGCAAAACATTTCCATGCTGCCTTGGAGATTGCCTTGCTCCCAACACCTCCCTCAAGAACTGGTGGCCGCTTGTACAAGCCTGGTGCTCAGTCTTCTACAGAGGCTATAAATGTGAGATATGGCAGAGATAGAAGCAAGAGAGTAAAAGCTGTCTGGATCCAGGAAGAGAGAGTCTGAGAGTAGAGGCAGATTTTCCCCAAAGTGTCCATTATACTTCATCATGGTTCTATATGGAATATATATGAGGTCTGACAAGTGAGTTTGTGAACACATCCTAGAAAAAGTGCTATATTTCTCATTGCTAAATATTACTATGGCTACCTTTGAAGTACTCCCCTTGGAAAGCTATGCACTGACATCAGCTATGCACTACACTTCAAAGCAATGTTGGAACTTTTTCTGGAATGGCTATCACAGCTGTAGTCATATTACCCTTGATCTCCTGAATGTCATCAAAATGTCTTCCTTTCAATATTTTCTTTATCTTTGGGTAAAGAAAAAGTCACTGGGGGGCAGATCAAGTGAGAATGGAGGGTACAGTACAGTTAACTTCCTCACAGACAGTGCTGTGTGAGAACTGGTGCATTGTCGTGATGCAAGAGCCTTAAGTTGCTGGCAAAAAGTTCAGGTTGCTTTTGTCTAATTTTTTCATGCAACCTTTTCAGCACTTCAAAACAGTAAAGTTGGTTAACCGTTCAGTTGGTGCAAATTCATAACAAACAATAATCCCTCTGATATCCCAAAAGATTAGCAACATTGTTTTGACTCTTGGTTTGGACTGATGGAACTGTGCTTGTTGTGGAGAATTGGTTGACTTTCATTGTGCACTTTGACACTTTGTTTCAGGATTGTGCTAGTACACTCATGTTTCATCACCAGTACCAACACTGTTCAAAACATTGACTTGCCTTTCCAAAAAGTCTTGACAAACTTTTGACTTTGGGACCATTTTTGCATACACCTTTCTCATGCCAAGATTTTCAGTTAAGATTTCCCTAATTGTTTCCCTATTGATGTATACTTGGTCTGCTGTGTTTCTCATAGTCAGCCGATGATTTTGACCACAGAATTCAACAAATTTTTTGCAATGTTTTCATCAGTTCTGCTCATTACTGGCTGCCCTGATCTCTTTTCACCAGGGATGCTTTCTCTCCCCTCAGAAATATGATTAATCAAAAAAAAAAAAGAAATATGATTAATCTATGTGTACACTGCTGTTTTCTTCATGCTATTATCCCCATAAACTTGGATGAACATGTTTCTGAGTTCACTTCCACTCTTGCTAAGTCTAACAAGAAATTTCATGTCTGTTCACTGCTCTAAATCAAGCTCTAACATGCTCATGATAGCACACAAAAACATAACAACAAATAATAATGAACACCATTCATCAAGATACCACCACATGTCAACATGAGCACAGTTGTGAGAAACTGATATACCAAGGTTATGAAACCTTACTGACCTGTTTGTACAGTGCTTCCAATGTAAGTATATGGTGGAAGCTTTACAAACTTAATTGTTAGACATTGTAGGTATTCCCATTTTATAGGTAAAGAAATAGAGTTGCACAGAAATTGAGTAAGAGGATTCAAAATCAGTTCAGGCAGATCCCCAAACCTACATTCTCCCTCCTTTGCTTTGCTGTTCCTCCACCCTCTGAGTGAATCCCCACCTGGATCTGAAACTCAAAAAAACTCCCACTTCTAGCTAAATAATAATGTGTACACACACACATATATGTATATATATATACTTTAAATCAGGGGTCCTCAGACTTTTTAAACAGGGGGCTAGTTCCTGTCCCTCAGACTATTGGAGGGCTGGACTGTGGGCCCCAGGACGAGTTGGCTGCTAAGCAGGACAGGCAGCAGCAGCAAAAACACCCGCGGGCCGGATAAATGTCCTCAGCAGGCGTGTGCAGCCCGCGGGCCGTAGTTTGAGGACGCCTGCTTCAAATAATAAGTAATCTGGTTCCAACCAACCTCAGTCTTCCTAAATTTAGTTTTTGCTCCTCATCAATGGGTGTAAACTAGTCATATTGCTTGACTTTACTAAAATGTTTCTTTAGCTCCTGAGACTTAGTTTCTTGCCATTCCTCCATCTCCACAAGCATACCCTGTTTCTCCAACTGTAGACACCATATCCATTTGCTAATGTCCTGACTAAATGCCACTTCTTCCAGAGCTAACCTTACTGGACCACCCAACCAATCTACTAACTTCTGCCTTATCATTTAGTCTTATTTTATCCCCTCTATTAGTTCCTACTCTCCATAGGAGTTAGAACATTATCTTACTCTTTTTGTATTTCCACAACAGTACTTGACACATATCACATAGGAAATTCATGTTCAATTACATGTACTAAAAGAATTAAAAAATGAATAAATTGGCTCTCTGAGAGGGTAAATCAGGACTAAACTGCTAACAATTGGCTGATATTTTTAACCTTAACTGTAGAAATGAAATTTCTTTTTACTTTCCAGGCATTGTTCAAATACCCCATCACCCATTTCCTTGGGGTACCATCCATATTTCGAATGATTCTGAAGCAGAATTTCACCAGGTATGATATAAGTAGCTGGTAACAACAATCTTTGGGTAGAATTTTGAGGAATCTGATACATCATGATCTGTTTTTTCCTCTAATTCTTTGATGTGTGTGTGTCAGTGGTGATAATCATTAACAGTCTAACTAGTTAAATTAAAGCAGGACCTAACATCCCAGAGTACAAGAGAAATGCTCAGTGAGCCTGACATCATTGTGGGTTTATTCCTTTTTAAACATTTTTTTTTTTT